CCCCAAAACCCCAAAACCCCAAAACCCCAAAACCCCTTCAAAGCAACCAAAATTGAGGGTTTTAACCAAATATTTTAAGTCAGAGAACTTATAACTGTCTGCAGCTTCGATACAACCTTTGCATGTGAAAGCTGTCTTTCAGGATTGAACTCATACCTGGAGCCTCCTTTCTCTCCATCATCGCTATTGTTGAAATTTTCAGGCTGCTCTACCATATACCTTGCCAATTTGACAGATTCTTTGGCATCAAAATTAAATTTATCCCCTAAAGTCTTTGACAAGGTTGCCACAGAAACTTTCCCAGTCAATGAGAAATCAACAAAAAGGAAATTTGGTAAATCCATAATATCTACATCATTCTCGTTTCAGTACTCCAAAATCTTCTTTGCCATTGGGACTATCTCCTCTCTCTGTACTGGCATGACCCTATCATCGTCACTATCAGATAGTTCAGGATGAAACACTTCATCGTAGTCATCATCTGAATCTTTATGTACGGCCTTCTCTCTTTCAGGTCTGCCAAGATGGTTTTCAAGGAGGTCCTCGCCCCTATCATCTCTTTCAAACAGAGATAAATCTCCTTCCGAGTCACTATGTTTCTTGCGGCTCTTAACAGTTTTCTCCTTTGGCTTCAAGTGCTGAGAGTTATTCGAGAGAGACTCTATTTTGCCAGTTCCGTTTTTACCATCACTGGGGCTCTCTTTCTTCCCAAGAATTTTGGACTTGAGCTCACTTTTGATTCCGGTCCTATCATTGAACTCTCCATTATCAAAACTTTGCTCGGAATCTTCTGCTGGCGGCCTTTTCTGGAGTTCCAAGGTTAATTGCTTAATTTTCTGCTTCAGATTTCTAAAATTGGTAACTAAAATTACTTTTCAACTTGTTTTGATCTCTTAGACTCTTGAGTAAGAAGTTCATTTATCTTGTGATTTTTATCTTCTATCTTCTTGATCTCAAGCTGAAAAGCCTTGAGCTTGCCCTGCAACTCATCGATGTCATCTTCAAGTTGTTTAATATCTTTCTTATACTTTTCCTCTGAGTCTTGATTTTTGCTGAGAATGTCGTTCTTCTCATTCACCATATCCACAATTTGACCCTCAAGAGAGCTTATCTGTCCTTTCAGAGTAGCCTCAGCTTGCTGGTGGTCACTCTTGAGACTAGAGACAACCTGCTGATGCTCAGCTTGCTGAGCATCTGCGGCTGACTCAAACCTATCTTTTTGAGCTTGTAACTGATCTTTATACCCTTTAATAGTTTCTTGAAGCTCATTTTCTAATTGTGAGATTTTATTCTTCAGGTCCTGAATGTCATATTCTTTCGCAGAAATGATGCTATCTCTGTTCTCCAGCTGCTTCTGAAGGTCACTAACTTCAGTTTCAAGCAGCCTGATCTGTTGCTCGTTCCCTCTTATCTCTTGATCTCGTTCCTCCAAGACACTGGTGAGCCTATCGATCTCCTGCTCTCGGTCAGTAAGAACTTTGTTAATAGCTTTAATTTTTGATTCGTAAGATTTAACTGTTTTCTTCTTGTCAATCTCCAGGTCGTGGTACTCACCGTCCTTTTGGTGCAGCACATTCTTGAGCTGTTTAATGTCCTTCCTAGCATTCTCTTTGTCGAGCTCAGCCTGAGTCAACTTATTTTTCAAGCTTGCAGCATTCCTCGTACTTCGCTTCATAAATCTGCTCTTGGGATGATTTCTGCCCTTCGAGATTATTGATCATCTCCTGCTGATCGTCAATATAAGCACGGATGTTGAGAACTTGGTCTGCTCCACCGATCTGGGAGATGAAGTTGTCAATCATACCTCTGAGTCTGATTGCTTCTTCCTCAAAAGCTTTATTTCTCAGCGTGGATTTCCCTAAAATGGCTCCCTTTCATATCCATTTTCAGAGATTTGATGAGTTCGTCTTTGGAGATAATCTCTGACTTTTGGTCTTCTATCAACTTCTTCAGGTTAATCACGATATTGCTCTCAATTGATCTCTGAAGAGCTTCCATAGTCTGCTTAGACTGAGTATTCGGAGAGGTATAAGCAGGATACTGAAGAGGCTTCTGCATCAATTCTTGTATCATTGAGTCTCTCTTCTTAACTTCCTTCTCAAGATACCTGACACGGGCTCCTAATTTACGGTTCTCAGTTGTTTTAGAGTTCTTTTCTTTCTTAAATCTCAGTGCTTCATCGTAGAGGTACTCTTTTTCTCTCTTAAGAGCATTGTTCCACTTTTCTTTCTTCTTCTCCATGTGTTGGAGCCTCTTATGAAACTTACTCGGAGATTTCGCGATTTTACTACTTTGGACAGGCTTATAGTGGTACTTAAGTCCTCTAATAGCTGATTTACCATTAGATTCCTGATTCAATATGTAACTGCCATCTTCGCTTGACCTTCTCAGGTCCTGTTGGATCTGGCTACGTCTTGCAACATTATGATTACCATTAGCTTCGTTCATCATGCGTAAATGAGCGCTCTGAGCTCTCTAAAAGATGTAAAGAACACCCAGAAATACCTGCTCTTGTTGGCCATCCTTCGGCGGATGTGTGTTCATGAAGTTGAATGCCATCCTTTGGTCCCCATCAAGTGGATAAAAGTTCTCGTTATTATAGGGCATTTCGTCGTTCATCGCAAATAAAATTATTAGGCATACTTAAAATTAATACTTTTGGGGTTTTGGGGTTTTGGGGTTTTGGGGTTTTGGGG